TTTACTCAAGTTACAGCTTGCACGGACGGACGGACAGACAGACATCCGGATTTCAACTCTACTCGTCACCCTGATCACTTTGGTATATATAACCCCATATCTGACTCTTTTAGTTTTAGGACTTACAAACAACCGTTATGTGAACAAAACTATAAAATTTATTGAACCAATCGTTACAATTCTTGAAAAACTTTCAAAATAGGCTTCTTCTGCGTCGATGCATCGCTGCCAGTTCGATTTCTAAGCATTGAAGACGTCACGAAAGGCATTCTCCGGAATAGTCTAGAGAGCCGAGGTGCATGCTGTCTGGATCCCCTCTATCGTCTCAAAATGCTTGCCTTTCATGGGTTTTTTCAGGCAAAAAAAAGTCGGGGGGAGCCACACCTGGGCTGTAGGGCTGCGGGAGCGTCGTGATGCCGACCATGCTTACTGTTCACAAGAAAGGCGGTGTGAGCCGGACCGTTGTCATGGTGCAACTCCCAATCGGCAGCGATGTCCAGACGGTGCGCGCACGCTCCGAAGTACAGTCGAGGTGGAAGAAAATCAGTCCTATTACTTTCCATACACACCCTGTATCTAAGAAGATCGTGTGATAATATCAAGTCGATCCGTCCAATTATTTTCGGAAATTTTCCTCACAGACTCTGAAAACGAGTTTTGAGAGCCGATTTTACTAAGTTAAAAAAATCATACAAGTACACTCATATCTCCGAAACTATTTGCGATATACTTTAAAAACGTAGTCATATCTGGGTGGTGAGAGGTTCTTATCTGAACCGCTTTTGAAGTTTTTCAAAACTAAATTTTTGGAAGTTTAGAATCGATTAACATAGTGGAGATTCCCCTCAAACTCTACAACAACGTCGACTGCTGCATGTGTTAAAGAGTTGTCTTAACTTCAATGTCTATAAAAATTCCTAGAAAGGCAATTCCTCTTTACATTTTCTTTACTTTGCAATACTTATAAATTAATAACCATTAAATAGTTTAAAAGCCATCAATCATAACTCTATAAATTTTAAAGCACACAAATGTCATTCATTTGCACACAAAGTACAGCCATAGGGCTAGTATAAATACCACAAACGATGCGTCGTAACGGCTTAGTGTCCGCAAAGGAAATTAAATCGCTCACTGCTCGTACAGCATGCACTTTTGGAAGGAACTCTTCAGCCCGAGTGATGACATTGGTGCTGCACAAACACTAATCTGGTTCAACTTCATGCTCGGCTTAACGCCATTTCGCCTACGGGCGGGCGATGGCGGCCAACAGCGCACGTTACACATCAGCCAGCTGGGCTATTTGAATACGCTGCTGCAAGTGATTTTCTTCATGTACTGCTTCATACATTCGCTGGCCGAGCAGGCGTCCATTGTGGGCTTCTTCTTCAAATCGGAGATTTCACAAATCGGCGACACCTTGCAGAAATTCATCGGGCTGCTGGGCATGTTAACCCTGTTCGGCATTAGTTTGAGTGAATGTCGCGTTATAGTTTCGTTATGTAATACTATCGGTTTGGTGGATCGACGTTTTCACAATCTCGGTGTGGCCTTCAATTATCAATATATTATGAAATTGACACATTTGAAAATGTTCTTGGTGATCACATTGAATGTTTCGTACATGTCCAGTTGCTTTTGGATGCTCTTTCACAATGATATTTGGCCGACATTCCAAGCGATGATTACCTTCTTCATGCCGCATGTCTTCTTATTAAGTGTTGTTGTGTTATTTTCCACGTTTCTGTTTCGTTTGCAGCAACATTTCGGTTTAATCAACAAGGTGAGCGAACGGGCATTCGAATTTTGAGCACTTTGTAAGCATATCCGTATACATATGTATATGGACTGGTATTTGTCGTTCTATGCTCGAAATGAGCAATTTAATTAGTTAATAAATTTGCTCTATATTTGTATTGATTATAAATGTGAATATCGATGATAGCGAAGTATGACACTAATATAAAAACAAAGATTAAATTGCACACCATTAACCATAACCATTTGATGAACTTATTGTATACCATTTATACCACAAGGGTACCATAACTTTGTTCAAATAACGGATATTTTCAATAGTCGACCATAATCGTAAAGGTAAGCCGAGTGTCACCTCGACAAATGTCATGACGCACTTAGACCTGAACGTTTCACCGTCAGGTAAAATATACAAGTTTCGACCATGTTATACTTCAGCCTTCTCAGAGAATTTAATTTTTTTAAATGCAAAAGATCTTTCAAAACTTTCACATAGACTCAATGCACGTCTGGAAAATGAACAGTATGCTAGGAGCTTTGAGAAATATTATAGGTATTTATTTAAGAGTAATTCAACGAGGTTTTGGTCAGTAGGTTCAACACAGACTTTAGATAAGAAAACTAAAAACGAATTCTACGCCACTTTTACAGCTGATGCCTTCGTATCTTCAATACCAAAGACTTTGGATAGGAAAACTAAAAACGACAGCTGATTCTTTGTGTCTCCAATGTGGAAGATTTTGGACAAAACAACATAGGAATTCTACAGATCCTCTTTGGAAAGGAAATCTAAAAACGAATTATACTTCGTTTCGACAACTGATTCATTCGTTTATCTGTTATTCAATGCCGAAGACTTTAGATAACAAAACTAAGAACGAATTCTACTTCGTTTTAACAGCTGATTCTATCGTTTGTCTGTTTTTCAAGATTGAAGGCTTGGCTAAGGAAACTAAAAACCAATTCTACTTCGTTTTAAATGCTGATGCTTTCTATTCTCTGTTTTATAACGCCAAAAAGGTTGGATAAGAAATCTAAAAACGAATTATACTTCGTTTCGATAACTGATTCTTTCGTTTATCTGTTTATTCAATGCCGAAGACTTGGCTAAGAAAACTAAAAACCAATTATACTTCGTTTTAACAGCTGATACTTTCTATTCTCTGTTTCTCTAATGCCAAAGAGTTTAAATAACAAAACCAAAAACAAATTATATTTTGTTTCGACAACTGATTCTTTCGTTTTTCTGTTTCTTCAATGCCAAAGACTTGGGATAAGAAATTTAAAAACGAATTCTACTTTCTTTCGACAGTTGTTCCTTTATTTCACTGAATCGAAGAAAAAATTATATTCGTGTCTAGGCTTTCTTTACTTTCTCCAGCAAAAATTGGAAACACTCAGCCAACGATCTATTGGACCGGCACGAACACTGTCCTCCCTCATTTGTATTTATTTAAGCTATTAGTTTTACTATTCTGTTTTTAAGTGCGCCCCGTACTTATCAGCACTAGATGGGTGCTTGCACATTTTCAGGGAATTTAATTTCACTTTCATTTAGTCACAACTTCTAGGCCGAAGGGCTCACATACTTTTACTACACACGACGGAAATGTTTCGCCGTTTTTGGAACGGTTTACGCAATTTGAGACATGACTTTCGAAATCCTATAAATATTTACGCGAGTTTACGTGTCGTTTTCCTATTCGCATACTTTTTTGGCCTAACGCCATATCATATCATAATATCGTCCAAGACGCGAAGGCACATCTTGTGTACTTCGGCCTACGGTTATTTCGCCATGGTGTGTCGTTTCATCTTTCTACATGTCAATATAATGTATAGTATTCTGCACAAACACACGGTCATCGATTACTTCTTCACAACGAATATTTCGCACTTCACAGACTCAATGCAGAAATACAATGGCGTCGCCGGTAATGTGATTGCGATGGGCTTTTGCTTCGTGCAACGCAAGAGACTGTGTACACTCATTAGGCGCATGCATAGAATCGAAGAGCGTTTTTTCAATGCGGGCGTGTCGTTTATGCAGAAATATGTAGCAACGCATACGAATCGCTTTACTTTGGCTATATTTGCCTTAACTATTTTCTACTTTCAATTGAGTATGTTCGGTATATTGGCGCGCAACAACATATATATAAGCCTTCCGGCAGCGGTCTCATACTACGCGCCACATTTGCTCGTTTGTGGCTTAGTACAATTGTATTATGCCATTATTTATAAGCTGACGCAATATTTTCGCGCCTTGAATAAAGTTGAGTATTTATGCGAAAACCGGAGGAGAATTGCATGAGCTATGCCAGCAATGAATGAACTATCGGAGAAAATTTCTTTTTATCTGTTTTACTATATGCTTTAGAGTGATATTCAACCAACAAAGATAGCAATACACACTTTTATTTCTAACTTATCAACCTATCAACAGTTGGGTGGAACGGAAAAAGGAAAAAAAAAATTGAAAGCCGAAAAAACGAACTGTTTCACCGAAGATTAGACCGAAAGGATTAACATTCAACTGATGATAATGGATTCTTCATACAAAGAACGCAACTATAGAATAATGAGATCAATCTGAAATGGTCATATGCTACATTCCGAACTCTAGTTCGCGGTTTGGTAAAATATTGGAAGTTCTGATAAAAAGAGCGACTGGCATTAAAATATATGTATATACAGGATTTGTCCGGAAAGTAATAGAACTGATTTTCTTCCGTCGCGACTGTACTTCGAAGCGTATGCACACCGACTTGATTCGGTAGAAGGCGTTCCTAACTAACGACTGGCTGTTGTCTCCGAGCACTTGGAGAGGCAGGACAAACATTTTCGCGCGACGTGTTTCTGTGAGAGCAGGGCAGAAGTACGCGATTAAATTCTGTGTAAAACTGGGTAAATCTGCGACAAAAACGTTTGATCAATCAGGCTTACCCAGAAGTTGCTGTAGTTAGAAGTGGTGTGTTTCGGTGGCATCAGGCCTTTTTGGTGGCCCGTGAAGAGGTCGCTGATGAAGACCGGAAGAATGAGCAAATCCAAAGTGAGAATGATGCTCATTGTCTTTTTTGACATCATAGGCATCGTCCACCATGAATTGATTCCACCTGGACAAACCGTCAACGCCAACTTTTACGTGGAAGTCCTCAAGAGACACAAACGGTGGACTCTTCCATCGGGTCCGACAAGACAAGGCCGACACCCCAACGCTTCCGCAGACTTTCTTGCCTGATGCTAATGCTTTCCATAACGCTTCAATGCGCTGATTCGACGCGAAAGGAGCCTATTTTGAAAGATTTTAAAGAATTGAAACGATTGGTTCTATAATTTTATTTAAATCGAATCTGTCCAATTACTTTCCGGACAAACCCTATATGTATATTACGAGCTGAAAACAGTATAATAAAAAAAGTAGAGCTTAGAATCAAATTGGGCTATTGAACGATTTCTAATTTGAGTCAACAAGTAGCTTGAAATCCCTTTACCTAATGTTATATAAGTTATAGTTATCAGATGTTTATGAATTTGACCTAATCAGGCTGATTTAGCCACAACTCTTAAATTTCTTCTTAATTGTAATTAAGCGTTTCTGTTTACTCATCGAAGAGTGTGCCTCTAAATCATGTTGTCTAAATGTACAACTGACATAACCTCAACTTTGAAATTGGGTATTCTCCAGCTGTAAATAATTTGCCTTCCTTTTCAGGTTTTAAAGAATCTCGCACATCAATGGGACAATGGCATTGTCAAACCTTTGCCGAAGCAACACTCACTACAATGTTTGGACTCTTTCTCCATGTACACCATAGTCACAAATAATCCTTGCGAGATTATACAGGAATCTATGGAAATACATCATATGATTTGTGATGCCGCATCAACGGCAAATAAATATTTCACCTATCAACTACTAACCATCATTTCGATTGCATTTTTGATCATCGTTTTTGATGCCTACTATGTGCTCGAGACATTGCTGGGCAAATCGGCGCACGAAAGCAAATTCAAGACTGTGGAATTCGTGACTTTCTTTTCATGTCAAATGATTTTGTATCTCATTGCGATCATATCCATTGTGGAGGGCAGTAATAGGGCTATTAAAAAGGTGGATAGTAATACTAATAGACATTCAGACGCAAAAAAGTGCTTACTATCTTCATTTTAATTCTCTTACAGAGCGAAAAAACCGGTGGCATTGTGCACTCACTACTCAATAAGGCAAAAAATGCTGAATTAAAGGAGAAGTTGCAGCAGTTTTCTTTGCAATTGTTGCATTTGAAAATCCATTTTACCGCCGCTGGACTCTTCAACATCGACCGCACGCTTTATTTCACGGTAGGTCAAAAGAAATACTGTTATTGTCATTATCCTAATACCTTTGCAAAGCCGTTAAAATATGAGTATATAACTAATCTTAATTGCAGATAAGTGGCGCACTCACCACCTACTTAATTATACTTCTACAATTCACGAATTCTAATCCACCCGAACACCCGTTCGTGCCGATGGAAGAGAACGATACAATGCCAATAAGGAGTCTCGTCTCGAATTTAACAATTGGTGGATAAAGCAGACGTTTTAATGCTATTTAAAGTATTTTTCAAATACTCATAAGTTATATATTGTAAAATTTACCTATATATATATATATGTATGTATGCTATTTATGTATCTCTTGTGTATTTAATGTCAGAGATTTGTGAGGCACGTTTCTATAAGTATGTATGTAATTATTGAAATATATTCAGAAACTTCGAGGGTTTACGAACGATTGAAATGCAAACGAACGTGCAAGCGATATTATGAGTTATATATTTAGATTCTTTGTTATATCTCGATGTGATGGAAATGCAGACTTTAATTGTTTAACATTTTTGTTAAGCATAAAGGAATTGTTTTAGATACATATACATATATGTATGTATAGTGAGTTTTTTAGAAACAGTAAATAAAGTACAATTGTGAACGAGCAACCGATACATATGTGTGTAGGTATGATTACAAGTAAACTTTATGTCATGATAATTAATAAAAGAGCTAAAATATTGAATTTTATCAAAACTCGATTTTTTTACTATAAAACGATTTACAAACAAAAAAGTTTTTCATACAAGAACTTGATTTTCATCGATTAGTTTGTATGGCAGCTACATATGTATATGCTATAGTGGTCCGACATCGATGGTTCCGACAAATGAACAGGCTCTTGGGGAGCAAATGACATACATATGCAAATTTTCAGATCGATAACTCAAAAACTGAGATACTAATTCGCGTACATAGACAGACGGACATGACTAAATTCAGTTAACTTGTGTTTATATGTATATATAAAACATTTTTAAAGAAAATAATAAACAATAGTATTTAAATAATTCAATTTGACTTACATGAATGTGTGTATATGTATATGATCGTATTCCTCATTACTTTTGTTGGTTCAAATTGTGTCACAATCCAATAGTCATTTGTTATATTGATAGCAACTGTAGCTTATTACGGCTATAACGAGCCATCATTCACTTCGATTACGGGCAATGTCCTTTTAACGCGTTGTAGCATGTAAACTCCTTTGACCGCGCTACCTTACACTAATCATATTTGTGGAATTGAAAGTCAGCGCGGCACTCCTACACATCCCCGATCAACCGATACTTCATCAATGACGCGTCAATACAACAATAACTTCAAACAATATTTATACAATTAAACTGAAAGGACATGCCAAGACACTCGGAAGTATTTCAGTGACAATATGGAATTTCGCGACAGTAATCAACAAGTGCGCGACGCTTACGGACGTTTACAAAGCATTTTATTATTGTCTTCCGGTTGACATTGACCTATAAAAGGTGGTTATTTGAGAACGCGTTACGGACACAAATTGTATATGTGCATACATATCTACACATATAATCACTGTGCGCTCATACTAAAGGGAAAGGAACGGCTTGATAATACAGTACACTTTCATAAAACTTTCATAATGGTCTGGCAGTTTTTAAAACATTTAACGCAATCGGATAGCATTTTACAGTCACTTCGACCGTTAGCATATATTTCACTGATTGGTTTGGCACCATTTCGTTTGAGTGTTAGCAAGGAAGTGACCACTTCGGCCTTTTCTCTTGCTGCTGGCATTTTGCACTTTTTTTTCTATGTGCTATGTTTTTTTCTATCGCTACGCGAAGGAGACTCCATCATTAGCTACTTCTTCCAGACAAGCGTAACGCGTTTGGGCGATGCAACACTCTCTTTAAGTGGCATAATAGCAATGGTCATGATTTTTAGTTCAATTTTCTTTAAGGTAAGAGAATTATGAGAAGAACAACCTTAGTATAACACATTTTATTGCTAAATATATGTACTATATATATGCACATATATATAAATTGGTGTATACTTACAGCGCAATTTACTGCTTACAATCATACAAAACTGTTTAGTGGTGGATGGGATATTTTTGCGTTTGGGACTAAAGCTTGATTATCGCAAAATACTGATGTATTCATTTGTTACTTCGCTAGGATTATTGTTGTTCAACTTCGTTTACTTATTGGTCAGTTATATGCTATTGCGTTCGGCAGAGATATGGCCATCATTTGTAGTTTTTACCACATTCGCCTTGCCACATTTAAATATCAGCATTATGGTCTTCAAATTTCTATGCACCACTCATCTGACACGTACGCGTTTTAGAATGATGAATGCGGTACATAACTGTTTATACAAATACACTTTACTTCTACATATTTCACACATTAAACATATATTTTGTCCACTTATAGGTGCTGCAGGATATACTCGACTCATGTATTGAGGAGCGCGATGCAGTTGAGCTCTCACCAATGCACTCAGTAATACATTTACATAGTACCAATAATATTACATCACGGCATGCCCCATCGGTTATTAAACCCACAGCTACGCCACGCACTCGTTACAGCGTCACTTCTCTTGTACGTCGCAATCCTGAAGGAGCGCTCAAACAAGTCAGCAATGTGCATAATTTACTTTGTGACATATGTTGCACAATCGAGGATTACTTTAATTATCCAATGCTAGCTATTATAGCTATTTCATTCCTATTTATTCTATTTGATGACTTTTACATATTGGAAGCGGTCATCACGCCAAGTCGTGTTGACAAATTTGAAGCCGATGAATTCTTTGCATTTTTCATTACGCAAATGTTGTGGTATGTGGTGATAATATTGTTAATTGTTGAGGGTAGCAGCAAAACCATTAAGGAAAGCAATAAAACAGCAGCTATTGTACATAAAATACTAAACATATCTGAGGAATCGGCCGTACATGATCGTCTGTTGCGTTTATCGTTGCAATTGTCACATAGACGAGTTGTGTTCACAGCCGCCGGACTATTTAATTTGGATCGTACGTTAATATTTACAGTGAGTATAACTGAATATTCGAATTAATGTAAAACTTATATTCTCTCACCTGCAGATTTGTGGCGCTGCAACTTGCTACCTCATAATTCTCATACAATTTCGCTATAATCCGGCACACTGGGATCGTTTAAATACGTCATCCGGTACAGTTTTAGCTTCATAATGTAATGTGCCTAAAGAAGAAATGAAACAACGTACAAATCGGTATACTTATGTGTGAACAATATTGAATTTTAAATATATTTAATTGTAAACATTTATTATATTTATATTTGCGAATTTGTACACACACTTCCACGCAATTTATTCTAAAATAAAGAATATACCTTTGCTTTCAATGTCAACGGATGCATCCGAAATGATTCAAGCAACGTATTTTATTTGAAATAGTTTTACTGCATGTACTAGTCATCTCTACAAAATGAAATACGCACCATTTAACCATATGTAAATAGCAGCGATAAATTTTCAGTCTTATATTATTTTTAGTAACACTTGATAATTAATTTATACCGTAAAATTTAAATTTTCACAACCACACTCAATTTTTACCCTTAAACTGTTGAAATTTCGCGAAAGCTTATTTATTTGACACCTCATTTGGCATCTAATTATTCCCGTTTCCGTTATGTTTCGTATATTCCAAGCCGTTTGGTTGCCAACTTCTGAAATAAAAAAAAGCACCAAAACAAACGTTTCTTGACAAAGAAAAACTAGTGTCAGAAAACGTGTACACGTTCTCTGCTAGTGTTTTAATGTATTTGTGTTTCTGTTCTTTTCATAAAACATTTGAAGCGTAAATCAAAAAATTTAACAGCACAAAGTTTTGATTGCTCATTACTAATTTCTTAGACCAAAATTTATTCGTACATTCCATTGATTATTTGTATAAAATTTATGCTCAGACTACTCGAGAGAAAGGTTTTGCGGAAGATTTATGGTATATTAAGTTTGCCACGAGGTTTGGAAGGAAAAGTCTAAAGTTGGATTGCCTTGGTCCATGAAGAATTGTGTAAAAATATCGCGTAAATAAATAAAGTTTTCTATTCTAGTAGTCCGATTAAACAAATTAAAAAAGTCTCATTAACTCCATAAAATATAAACAAAAGGATAATTGACCCCAAATGTAAGCAAAGGTGGATGACTTCGCTAATGGTAAGTAAAGATTGGGGACATGGCTAATGTAAACTAAAGTCCTTCACCTTACAAAATGTAAACAAATGCGTCATTGACCTCTCAAATGTAAACAAAGGCTGTTGACTTCGCCAATTATAACCAAGGGTGGTGGACTTGGCTAAATATAAACAAAGGGGTCATTGACCACATAAAATATAAAAAAGGAGTAGCTGACCTCTTAACACAAAAATCGGAACACTCTAAAAAGTTAACGATTCTTCTAGTTATGTTTAAAAATATGATATATTTGAAAATATTTTACTTTCTTTGATAATTGCAAGGTGCTAGAAAACGTAAGGTTCGGTTTCACCCGAACTTAACCTTCCTTACGTGTTGATAATAATATCACCTTATATAATATATGATAGACGTTCTCTGTGGCAACTATGTTAAACCTGCGTTTTTATTAATTTTACTGTTTAGAGCGCCGTCTATGCTTTCAAATATGCAATAAATATGAATCAGCTGACTTTTACAGCTGTGAAGAATTCGTCTAAAAGAATTATTTAAAAAAATGCCGGGTAAAAGGTAAATTGCATTTAAAATTTTTTATTTATTTAATTAAACAAAAGCATTATTTTTCACTAAATTAATACATAATTAGGAGACCGTGGCGAAAGGAATTAAAAAAACAACAACGAAAACGCAAAAGACAAAATGTTGCCATCACACGCGATCGACTGTTGGAAGAAGGTATGTAAATGCCTGTAAATAAATTGATATGGAACGTAATTTAATTAAAACTATTTTAATGCATAGAAGAAGCAAGGAAACTCAAAGATTGTGCCTATCAACAGTTTTTAAAACAGCAAGAGCTGCTTGAAGCGCAGAAATTACGTGAAATTGAAAGATTGCATGACGCAGAAGAAGAAGCTTGGCTTAGGCGTGATCTATTAGCTCATCGTCAGTTCCGAATACAACAACAGCAACGTGCCGCAGCGGAAGTTGCTATACGCGTAAAGCAAGAAAAGGAGTTGATAGCGAAGTTAGCAGAGGAGCAACAGCGACATGTTGAACGTGAAAAGCGTGAAGCGGCCGCTACTGTTGAATTTGAAGAAATAATGAAGTGTATGGAAAGATTTCTCAATAATGGGGGTGAGCCGCCGCCCGAACTACGTCGTGTGGTAGAATCACGACCCGGACAGAAGTTATGTGCCTTATATGAACGAACAAATTGCTGCCGTTATGGACCGTCTTGCATTAACAATCATCGTCGACCATTACTCTCCAATATCATTGTGGTGCGTCACTTCTTTATGCATCCCCTGTTGGAAGAGGAAAACGAACACCCGGAATATGCAAATGCTGATGGCAACCTAGAGTTAAGTGAACAGGATTTATCTGAAGCTTACAATGAATTCTTTGAAGATGTTGTGCCGGAATTCGAAGTGTTCGGCTATATACAGAATTTTAGGGCAATACGAAATACATTGCGGCACTTGCGAGGACATGTATTTGTCGAGTATATGGAGGAAAGGTGAGTCTTATTGACATGATATTTCTTAATTTATTGTTTTGTTTATTTTTTTTTTATATGAAGATCTGCTCTAAAGACTTTTATAAAGCTACAAGGACGTTATTATGCTGGAAAACAACTAAATGTTGAATTTGCAAACATACAGACGTGGCGTAGTGCAATTTGTGGTACGTGAAGCAAAACAGCTAAAGTCGCCATGTTAGGATGGTAGCCTTTTGTATCCTTTTGTAAAGAAAAATTACCGTACATCTTATGCAAATACTGCATAACAATATTGTTTATTCAAACACGCTTATATTACTAATTTTTCCTTAACACTATTTCTATTTTATTTTTTAAACAAAAGGTTTATCACATTCGCGTAAATGCCTCAACGGCAACAAATGTCATTATTTACATTTGTTTAATAATCCAGACAATAAGTACAATACACCAATGGTTATTAATAGAACACCCAGTATTAAAGCATATATGGCCACGCCGTTGCTAAGGTATTTAGTAAAAAAATTAACCCAAAGCATTGCTAAAGTATTTGCCACATTTTGCAGCTGGAATGCGGTGACAGCAAGCGATGTGAAGCAAAGCTCGCGCAATTGGCGTTGGTCTGAGAGCCCTGAAGTGGAGATTTCAGCAGCGAGAGATGCGTTGGAGACTAATAAGACCAAAACTAGCAACACAAAACGCAGTAGTGAAGTTGAAGATATCGATCACATGAACGTTGAGCAAACTAGTGTCAAGAGTCATAGTGATAATAACAAAAAGCATAAACGACAAAAACATAAACATGAACGCGATAAAGCGCATAAGAAGCATAAAAGGAGGCGTGCGGACAGTTCCGACAGCGTTAATAGTGAAGATGAACGTCGTGATAAACGCCAGAGTAAGCAACGAGCAACTTATAACGATGACAGCAATAAGCATAGACGATCCACTGTAGAGGCTCATAAAAAAATATTAAACAGAGATAAAAGCCGAAGCCGCTCAAAATACAAGAGATAAAAGGTACAACTTTGTTTTTTTCTGTTTTAAATAAAATATGTTAAAAGTTTTGTTTTTATCAACAAGTAGTTTAAAAAAAGGGAATAAGAGAAAAACAATATCGACAATTTCGTGAGCTTGATAGCTCAGCACCGTAATATTTATTATTTAGTTGATAACTGATGACACCAGTACACGTAAATACAAAAGCGTATGCAGCAAAAGTTAAAAGTTGCTTCCGCTTTGGTAAACGTTTGGACTTAATTATAAGCACTGAATGACAGTAACTTGGCTTCCAACTAGATGCTTTGTCCTGGCTGCATTGTAGTTGTAAGGTATGATAATATAATATATTGTACTGAAATAAAATTCTAGAAATTTTCAAAATTGAGTTGTAAAAAAATTGTTGCCTACTTTTAGGAGTTTCATGTTAAACTAAGCATTTTCTAATTCTACAATTATTAAGAAACCCTAAAAATATTTTATAATAAATACAAAAAAATATATATGCATACATATATGTTCTATAATATACTATATACTTATCTATATATATACATATGTATATACAATGTTTACCCACTTTGGCTGCGAAATAGTAATCACTTACATACATACAAGATTTTTATGTATGGAAAGCATCTACATTCCGTGCCAACTTACTTACATCTATTCAAAACTCTTTTAAAATCATTAGTAATACAACATCATTTTTTTTTTATTAAAATTTTATTGTTTTTTTTTTTTAATTTTTGATATTTTATTTTCGTCATTCGTTGCAGATTATTAGAAAAACTTGTGAAAATGGATTTAAAATCGTATAAATATTTTAAAACAATTAAGAAATAACAGCTTATGTAATAGACTGGCAGTAGAGTATACAAAAATTACGTTTTCCAAAATTGAATTGGTCTCATTGAAACGTCGATGAACAGAATTTCACAATTAAGCTGTTTCCAAATTTCAAGGTGATTTTGATATAAAATATACATATGTATAAATTTTTCCCACTTTGCCACAAGAATGCACACAGTAATAAATTCTAAAGTCTATTATTTGCTTTTTTTTTACCATTCTTTACAAATAAAATTAAAAACAAAAATTCGTAAAAAAGAAAAACAAAAAGAAAATATATATAATTAATTAAAAACACACACAGACAGACAATGCAGAAACGACGCAGCAACGACTGCATAGCACCGCACTCGTGCTCTAACTCGTCAACACCTTAAAGACGAATGCCTGGATTTGTGGCCGCAACATAACGCAGCAATTCATCGTTATCCTCACAGATGACAGGTTTCTCGTGATAGCAAGCGACATCGTGCCATGCAATACCATCATTGTAAACGTTGTTCAACACCGACAAGCACTGTTCCTTGGTCTGGTTGATGTCGTATTCAGCATTGTCGGGTTGGGGACGCTTCTTGTGTCCGGTTTGTGACCATGGATTGTAGCCCCAGCCTTGTGGAATGCGGTTGGTGGCTTGAATCTTCTCACGCGTTGCAGACCAGAACCAACCATACACGTTCTTGGGTTCCAAATCGGGACGATTTTCACAACCAGCAAAATCGCAGATGCGACCAGCGGTCCAAATGTAAGGCACATCGTTCTGTTGAATGACACGGAAGATCAGATTGTTCTTCTCTTGGGTCTCCAAAGCGACCAAGTCCATGCAGTATTCACGGCACAAGTTGCGGCCATCCAACCAATCGACCTTCTTGTTGGCAAGCGCTGGCACGTGGCTGCTCAAGAACATGTTGCGACCACGGTAGGAGAATTCTTTGGGACCTGCAAGCAAGTAAGAAAATTATGTTAATCATTATTTTTGTTTTCAAATTATAATTAATTTAAAAAAATATTTAATATTATTCAATTATATTAAAAAAAAAAAAAAAAATAAAATTAATTTCAAACTGTCTCTTATACACATCTATTTTTTTTATTAATTTTTTTAATTAATGTTTTTAAACGATTTTTTTAAATTTATTTTTTTTAATTTATTTTTTTTAATTAATTTTTTTGGTTAATTTTCTGATCTTTTTTTTCTTTAATTTCCTTTTTTTTTTTAAATTGTTTATTTTTCAGTATAGAGTTCAACAGCCTAATAATGCAAGAGAAAAGCTTGCCTTTGCCATATCTTATTGTAAAACCGACAGAGCACCATGACGCAAGCCCTTTTTGCCAGCGGTCCAGCCATGCCACTGCTGCAACTATTACATTGATGCCGCGCCTCCACAGCTCAGCTCATGAGCAATGCTCGGCTAGTGGATCACTATTACACAACAATCTGCCACAGAAAACTCGTAAGAGAAATAAATCATCAGTGTTCCTACAAAAAAAATTTTCAACAGGTAATAACTTGCACCTTCTTTGCTATGCTTCGCTGTTGCTGCCACTGCTAAACACTGCCGACCTGCAGATTGACGAGAAAAAATAAGCAAAATTCCAGCTCACATTGTTTATTTCGGTGCTAATATGCATTGCAAATAGCTGTGCGCCGGTTGTTAGTAGGTGTCTAAGTCGTTACTTTGGTGATTTCACCGACCAACAGCTGAGACAGCAGCAAAGCTGGCGGCTCAAATGAGTGCATAGAGACGTCACATACACAACAGCTATGTGAAATGTAAATAACAGTGCGGGCAGTGCATTGCGGCGGTGGCAACATTGTGCAAAAACTTGTTCAAATAAAAATGTAGTTTGCTGTCTTGGGATTTTTCACTTACTTTGCTTTTTTCTTTATTTTTTTACTTTATCATTCTCGACAAATATCTGAAGCAAAGTGAAGTAAGATATGAGAGTTTCCACATGCGATCATCAGTGAATTTTTTACAAAAAGGTACGTACTTAAAATAACATTTATGGGAGGAATTTTGTAATTTAAGCAAACAACAATATCAGTAGTGTGATATTAATATATTATAGCCATGTTGGTGTGTCTAACACCTAATATTGTAGAAATAATAATGTTGTAAAGACTATAGGCCTTCTTGCAACATATAAAGTACCAATTACTTACTAGAACCTATGTTTAGCAGAAATACACTTACTACAGTAATAGAGTACACACGTTAAGTTCCCTTACCATATATTTTTTATACCCTGAAGAGGGTATATTTACGGAACTAGTACTTCAACTTTATAGATATCGTTCTAAAGTTTTGGGCACCTCCTTTTCTCCAAAGGAAGCTGCTTATTTATCGGAATCATTGATGTCGGACCACTATAGCATATAGCTGCAATACAAATTGAGCGCACAAAATCAGGTACTTCTTTGGAAAACTTTTGTATTTGACTAGATATCTTCACATTTAGCATAGATTTAACGACAACGCTACAATCTACAAATATATTGTGCAGATCGAACTACTATAGCACAGAGTTGACATACAGACACACCAACTGAGTTTTCAAAATCAAAATAAAGATCTTTTTTTACCCTTCTGCTAAAATAAATGTACCTGTTAAAGGTACAATAGCTTTGGTGTTGTAAAAGCAAACGCTTCTCTCGTTTTTTCCTCAAATTTCTGCAAAAGTGCTTCAGTTTGCTGCAATTTACTCTCGGTTGAATCAACTTTTATATTAAACCCATCACCAACAGCTGCATAGTTCACAGCAATCAAACTTTTTAGCTGCAATTTGAATAAAATTTCGTTTCTTCTCTCACTCATGATGCTATTGAATGAATGAATTGCGGAAACGTTATAGGAAAACTAAAATTTCCAACTAAAGCTGGTGAAAGGATAATATCAAATAAAATGTGCAATGTTCACTTTCTATTATGCAGTCGTTGCAAGTTTTTGCTTTAATTATTGGCATTAAACCACGCTTGCCGCATTTAATTTCCCCATCATTGTCATTGCAAGTAAAAAAGAAGAAGCGCTTTTATTAGAAAATTACCATTTTTCAGAGCGCCAATCACATTCAGTATATGCAAGCTGTTGCAATCTCATCGAAAAATAAAGAAATCAAGATTTGTGTGAAATTTGAGCGTACAAAAAATTAAGGAAATGTTTTCGAAAGCTTTTATTTCATAAATCGGAAATATTCTCCCAAAAAAAAGTAGTTGCTTATGGCTTATACTCGCTGCTTTCATATGATGGTTAACTCAATGCTTTTGACTGGTAGATTTCCTCACAACCGCCTCAATAAAAGCTAACATAGCTTGATTGTCTTTAACAGCAAATAAAAGCTTAAGGATTTGGCTTGGGTTGCCGGTTCATTCAATCAATTATACAGTTATATGCAAATATTCACCTTCAGAATGAATACCGCGTATATTTGCGTTGCATGTATTTCTGATTGTTGTCGCTGTTGGCATTAAATTGCCATGTAATTACCACGCTGAAACGATTTATTCGTAACTGATACATCTGCTTCATCATCATTGGCGCATCATTTAATATCTTTGTAATTTTAAGCTTCTTACGCTGCCACTTTTATTGCCTGTTCTTCTTACAATATTTATCTGCTGTTATCTGCACACAATAATCTTCGTGGATGTAGGTCAAGGCGATTGAAACTGATAAATTTGTACAAACCAGTTGCAGATTGCTTCTTAAATGCATATACATTTATATGGGTATGTAAGAAATTGCGAACAACAAGCTTGTGCCACTGCGCATGCCATGCAACTGCTTAAACAAAAGACTTAAGCAACGAACTTGCTGGCTGCTAGAATAATTGTTAATTAGTTAAAGGGAAACTGACTGGCGTGCAAAAACTAATAATTGCTGGTTTTTATCTATGCAAATATGTCTGTATGTGTGTGCTTAAGCATCTATGCGCTCATTTGAATCTTCATAGCGAATATTTCTACAGTTGCGCAACCAACTTGGCGGTACAATTAGAATTGACTACGTGCGCGCTGAGTTGCAACCTGTGTTTTTGCTTTGAAATTTTATTTTATTCTTTAACTGACGCAAATATTAGCTGCAATCTTAAACTACTTATGAAGCACTTCCACTTTTAATAAATTACCGAGCGATAATTTTCAATTAATTTTCAGATTTTCAATTTTCATTTGCCACAACTCATAAATCAGTCAAGCAATGCCGAAGTAGCGAGCAAAAACTTCGAAATCTACTCAATAGAATTGCAATAATGCGGCAGAATAGATAACTGCAGCATGTTGCAAGATACTGTTCGTGCAACTGTGGCAACAACAGCGCATACAGCGCCAAAGTTGCGCACCTAGCCGCGGCTGCGATAATGCCAAGCATTGCAACACCTCGAAGAGGAAGCATTTCAGACAAACAGCCAACAACTTAATAAATTGATGTTGCAACAGTTGTTACAATGGCGGAGAAAACGTGAGCGCTGCACAAAACTTTGCCGTTATTGTTATTTTCATTTGTATTTCCCACTGCGCTGAGTTGCTTCCCCAATTGACCCAAAAAGCATTAT